ACGTACACTCTCATTATTTTGAAAAATAATTCTTATTATGCAACTAATATTATACACAATCAAACAACATAAAATACTTTCGTTTTTTAGTTTAAAAGTTCAAAATGCAGATTTTTTAAATAGGACAATTTAAATACGACAACAGACTTTGGCATATTACGTCAATATCATTTTCTAAGACGACCGTTAGGGGACCGTTAGTGGAGTCGTGTAAGTGGGCTAATCTAGTCTACCCTTAGTCGGCGGCTAATCAGCCCAATTCTAACATTAATGTAAACAAATAAATACTAATTTAAAAACCCCCGAAACAAAAATAGCTGATGGTGTTCAAACGGCTATAAAGATTTTCTAAATCTTTTTAGCCGTTTTCTAAATCAAAGCTAAATAGGCTCTTGATCAAGTCACCCTTCAAACAAAAAAAAACTAAATCTAATTTATCCTTTTGGGATCTACGATGACACAGACAGATACATAGATACACGAATATACACTTTAAACATATAACACTCCTCTTTTCCGTCGGGGGTTAATAAATAAAGATTTTTGGATGATTTTACTGCTGTAAGTTGATCAGCAAAATGCGAACCATCTGCAAGCAATGTTGGCAATATAAAAAGAGTAGGCGTTAGCGTTCTTTATTCCCTAGTAACGCTATAATATTATATTAATAGTAGTAGTTTGATGAAAGTTTCAAGTCCCTCTTTTTTCTAATAAAGTATTTATATATTAATATTGAATAAAATAAATATACTTTGAATACGATTGTATAGGCTATGTTGTTAAACTAAAAAAACATTTGAATATTATCTGACACTAGAACATTTGAATATTTATCTGACTGCCTGTTCCGAAGGAGACTTAACTTTGTAACTTCAAGTTTCAACTTGCAATGCGCATTTGGCATTGTGGTTATGTTTGTAAATTGGCTTTGCTCTTGGATTATAGCTTGGGATAAGAGAGGAATAAAAGCTGCAGGCTGCTTTTCTATATGACATTTTATATTAAATTGCAGAATTTTTTTTTACAATTTAAATAGGTTGAGTTTTATTTTACTTTATTTAATAATTTTTTTAAAACTGCATTCTTTTGTGCCATTTCAATTTATTTACACAACTTAACACGAGATTTTACTACATAACCTACAAATCATAAAACATTAATTAAAATAAAACCCCAGGTCCTGCAAGAATATGATTTATTGACTCAGTAAATATTTAAATCTTCAAAATAACATATTTCAATATTGTTCACACCAGGCCCAAACTTGTATGGAATCAAGTTCATTTCATTTGAAAACCCCCCGAATCAAAATAACTGATGATGTTCAAACGGCTAAAAAAATTTCTATAATCGTAGCTAACCCACTCTTGATCAAGTTACTTTTCAAACAAAAAAAAACTAAATCTAAATCGGTTCTTCCGTTTGGTAGCTACGAAGCCACAGACACACATACAGATACACATATATACACGTTAAACATATATAACACTCCTCTTTTTCATAGGGGGTTAATAAAGATTGTTGGATGATTATACTGCTGCCTCCGGCCACCTGTACTCACCAAGCGAAACGCAGAGATAAATCCCTCCTTCACGCTGGTATTCTGTGAGATCGTGGTACCCCGGTTTGAGCCGGCCCACCCATGCAATTGCAAAAGCTGCCGCGTGACTCTACCACTATATATTAATAGTAGTAGTTTGATTAAATTATAAAATTGCCGTTTTATATTAAAAGTTTCAAAACCCTTTTTTTTCTAATAAAATAAATAAGTATTTATTTGAATACTTATTTCATCGTTGTATTTACCCACATAATCATCTCGAGGAAAGATCATTTATACCTTCGCCATAGAACTCTGGGAATCTGGACTCTATAAATCATGAAGACATTTTGTACCGCTTTCTGAAAACAAAATTTGCGGCTCTGTGGTGCAGTGGTTTTGCATTGACTTGCGGTGCTAAGGTCTACGGGTTCGAATCCCTAATAATATGATGTTTGTCCTTGTTTTGCAATTAATGAACGTAAGTTAACTCTCTTTACGATACAAGAGAAAATCATATTAAATAACTTTTTTTATACGGAAATATGGTAATCGATTGGGGATAGCTCTCGTGCATTTACCTATGACTTCTAACTGCAGATTGTGTAATGTGAAGATAGCTTTTTGGGCAGTGAAAGGGTTGCGTTATTATTAAGCAATTATGACGAAAATTGATTGACGAATCGAGTTTTACATCGTGCGTGGTTCTAAAAGCACATCAGTTGGTTCGTAAGACACCAATTTATCGAAATAGTTTTATTTTAACAATTTGGTTCAAATGAGTTAATACTGTGACCAACTAACATCAAGCCATGACAATAATCCCTGGAGTAATTTTTTAAGAATCGGCTTTAACCATTACATTTGATTCATCTCTATTTACTTTGATGTCTGGTATTTGGCGTGGTTCATATTATTATATTAATATAAATATATTTAATTAAACATCTTTAATGAAATGTTTTATTTTATCGACTGATAAACCTGTATTTTTGCTCGTGACTGAATTGCATCTCGTTTACTTTCAGATGCATTTTAATCTAGAAATAAATCAAGATCGCTATATTACAAAAATATACTAGTAGACTATCATTATGCAATCACCCATAGTACACATTTTACGAGAACATCCACATATACGACATCGAATATCTGCTCACATAGGGAATAAAAAAATCAAAAGAGCAGAACAGCGTGTATGATAACATTATGAAACTTATTTACTAACCGGGAATGTGCTGTGTTAAATAATTACAACTCTTTCATACTTTTGTTCTTCATTATGTCAAATGCGCAGATTCTTACCAGATAGACGCTTGTGTATTAAATAATTATAACCATAAGTAACATCTCAAAATGATGCTTTAATTTCAGATAGGTTTCTATTGAACGCCTTCCTCGAAAAGCATAGTGAAGATTTATTGCCATTCATTTGCTGCTAAAATAAGTATTTTAAATAAGAGGCCATGTGGCTTTTAGATAGTGACATCTGATATGGCAGCAACTTTGTTACGTGTAATTTTAAATTATACTTCGTTTTAAACCCAAGTACCCAGAAATTGTCGTAATACTTATAAAATATTTTGTGTGAAAATAATCTATTGGACCTGTTAGTCATGATATATCATTTGCAAAGTCACTAGTAACACATTTGAACACACTTGGCCTTCGTCGCTTTTTTCTTGAGACTATTATGAACCTCCCCTTCCGATTTTTTACAATTTTACGCATGAGTGGGTCGGCTCGACTGGGAAGGACTACGATTTCACAGAATACCAGCATAAAATAGCAGCTAAATGCTGTTGTATTTCGTATGGTGAGTATAAAGAACCGGAGATCCTTTTAACTGGAAACGAGGCATTCAATCTTAGTCCTCAGGGTTAACAACATCTGCACTTTGATTTTTAATCGAGGTTAGCATCCGGTGAACTGTGTGCTTGTTTGTCATTTTTATTCTATAAAAAAATACAATGGAACATGCATAAATGAGATGCATGCATCAAACGCTAACTATTTTGACATAATGTGCACAACTATTAACATTCCCATAATATTTGTAACATTAACGCTTGGGTAAAATAGCGTTTGTTTTAACTCACTTTACTGAGTCTAGTATGACATTTAAGACTTACTCACTCACTCGCTTCTGTCAAAACTCTTAATGCTCAACTTAGACCCAACACGCTGCGCAAAGAAGGACATTTTTTATATAATATAAGCATCATGGCATTGGGACGTTGCACACTGAGGCCTTCCCACAACTTGTTGCGCCACCGGAGCGGCGCTACTTAAAATTGAGGTGTAATATTTGACAGCTGTCATAGCGAGGAAGTTAACTACTCAAGTAAATGACATTGCATAACAAAAAAATTCACCTTAGTGTCAACTAGCAACATCTGCTGAGCGGAAGATTATTAGCCCTCCTTCAGTCCCCCCATGACCATGAGTTCTGTAAAGTACTCGAAACGTCGGGAATATAAAATTTTAATACACCTACGCGATAAAATCCGTAAAAACTAGTATTAATGTATTACTAGTAGTAATGTATAAAATGTGTATTGTTCGCAAACATAAGAAATCATCAGACATTTGCCATACTTGCCACGCTTAGCTCGTAGTTTGGCTACCGCAGTATTTTCTTATAAATATTATATCGTTATCAGGAAGATGTTGCTGCCATCTCCATTTCAGCTTTTCGAAACCCACGGTATAATAAAGAATAGAAGATACTCTTACCCCGTAACTACATGCACAATTTAACCACGTTTTTTTATTGTTTATCTTATCTGTAACTCCGCTGTCAATGTGAACAAGAAAAAGATGTTTGGTTAAAATATTTTCAGTAAAGCACCACGTTTTTCCAACCCATAGAAATAGAAGTAGGAGTAAAAATTAGTCTAATACTTTCTACATTAATCATGCGTAATATATCCGTTAGTCCGAAAGCACTTAAAGCAAAGAGTAATTTGTGCAATAAAAATTGTATCACACAGAAAAAATACACAAAAACGTATTTAATATTAACTTAGTCCCTACAAAAGAAGGTGAGGAGTATTTTAAAATTTAATATCAATTTTATAATATTAGTAATAATAATTTTATTTGTAACAAATAACACACTACAATTAAACAATAAGTATTAAAAATATGTAACATTCTGAAGAAGTTTTTAGCTCCAAAAATATAACATGTTCTCATTCAAAATTAATTTCCTTTCTTTTAGTAATCAGGTACTTAGATTATTCATGATGATTTATTAAACTAAAATATATTTATATAAAAACTAAATATATTTCAGACTTTAAATAGTACTTATAATAAAATAATATCAATAGCTACACTAGGCAAAAATAAAAGGGATGCTGTTCATAAAGTCTAACTAAAATTGTTTTATTTTATAATTTTTATTCTTTGTACTCTTTGAGCCAAATGCAATACTTTATTAAAATGTATTATGAAACTAAGTTTTTGACCCTATTTTTGCTTTTGGTGATCTTTTGTAATGTCCGTATACGGTACCTCCTTCTGCTGTATGAAACATTTGATTTGGAAGAAAACCGCTCTGGAAATGTTTGGGATTTGGAAGAGGATGAGTAAAATGTCCACTTGATAATGCCTCATATGCCACAAGTGGATCTTTTATAATACCTCTTTTAAGATATTGATATTGTAAGCTCGATGGGACATAAGAATCTAACAGTGACGTTGGCTTTCTTTTAAAAGACGGTCTATACAGTTCAATAGGTCTTGGAATAAATTCACCTAAACCAAACCTTCCACTGTTATAAACTGGTTTGCCCAAAGGGCGGTGAATCGGCAAAACTTTTGGAATATGTGCTAGATGTGGCGGTGGAGCTTTTAAAAGTAATGGACTTGGATGAGGCAGCTCAAAAGGCTTATTCGTATACTCTTCCCTGACAGGTGTTCGGGTGTCGTAATATCTAGGGTTTTCTTGTGATTGTAATTTGGTGTAGGGCCCTTCTGATTGCGTAGTAAAATATATATGAGTCTCTATATCATTTTCTTGGTCATCTTCGATTTGTGATTGAGAATACTGTGAACTAGGATGATAAAGCTTCGACTGCTGTTGCGAAGTGTGTTGATGTGTAGGAGCCGCGACTCCAGTTTGGTATTGATCAATAGGTACTTGATACGTTAACACTGGCACAACAGTAGCCGGCGTGGAAGCTACAGTCGGCTGAGCAGAATACGTAACATATTTTGTAGGGGGAAGGATACGACTGAATGTATGTCTCTGCTGTTGGCGCTGCGTGAGCTGGTACTTCCACATAATTTGTTTGCGGGTGCACTGGCTCTGCCGATGGATGAAGTACTTCTTGATTTTCACTTTGTCCCGCATAGTGTGCTTCTGTATGCGAATTACTAACTTGTTCCGCATGCTGGTAATATTGTGGAACTAAATAAACTTGCATAGGTACATTTGACAGATAGCCGGCCTTTGCTTGTTGCGTTGCGAATGGTTCATATTGAGGCTCAGATGGAGCAGTGGGTTCAGTTACGTCATATTGTTGGACGTAACGCTGATTTTGTGATGTCTGTGTTGTGCTAGGACCATTAAAATATCGAAGGAACCCATTCTTCAAGAAGTCCAGTGGAACAGATTCTGGTGCATGATTTTCGCCATCTTCTGACCTTGAATGCTCTACATCATAATCTTTGCCTTTTTCACTCTTTAGGTTATCCTCTTCAATGTCTTGCAACTCAATTTTTTTCTCTGCTCCTACGGCAAGAGCCAGTAGCAAAACTGGTGCAATCTGAAAGTAAAAGCGTACAAGTGAATTTCAATTAGAGTAGACGTACGCGGCGCGTGTACCGCCCGCACTATAAGACCAAAAATGGCGTGAGGAGGTGTGCCACTGACGTCGCCTTGCCTGTTAGATGTGCGGCAAACAGGTGAATGGCAAAAAAATACACTAGAGCCTGTTACGAAACCGGTTATTATGTCGACTGCGAGTTGAAGGGAAGGCATTAACTTTTACTCTTTATGCGACTCTCCTCTCATTATCATTATTTCATAGTTACAAAACATAGGACACAAAAACATGCAGTTATATTTATTTTGATTTGTTAATTTTTGAATTATGCAATATGAAATATATTGCCAAAAAATAAGAGGTGTCTTTAACAGTTAAAGAGCAAGCTGCACTTCGTTTTAATAACATGAATAAGTTGGACAAAAATGACTAGTCTTCTTACGAGAAATATTTTACTGATTATAAAATTCGATTAAAGGAAATGTATAAAAATTTGTACCTAAATATGACTTTAAAGCTGAAGTGTGTAAATGTCAGAATTAAAGAACTGGCTTTAAGTTTACTTAATCGAGCGAAGTATGCGACTGTTTGTAATATGTTTTTTACATTAAGATGTTTCCAAAATGTGGAGTGGAAGGCAATGATTACACAACAATAAAAAATAAAATAATCATGAACTCGACGCCGAGGCGTAGGTGATCTTTTTTAAGATAAGGTGGCCTAAATTAATACATCACTGCCATTAAGTTTGCGAAAGACATTTAGAGAACACTGTTGCAAGCAGAGTATTCACAACGTAAAAGTAACTTGAAAATCCAATAACACATCAATAGTTTTAAATTTGATCTTATTTCCTTTTTATTTATATGCATATGAGTAACATTAAATTGTCTGTCTCTATTTTGATTGTTGTAACACACGTCTTTTAAAATTTTTAGTCATAGGCTGAAAATAATAAGTTTCATAAAAGTGCAAAGGCGATAGATAGACCAGGAGTTTTAGTTTTAAATTTTTCTGTTATTTAAATTAACTCACGAGACTAATTTTATATTAAATTAAATTAATAATTGTTTTTTTAATTTATTTACTTTTCAACTAATCATTTAACAAAAAATCATAATAATACAATTAGTCGATGATTAATAGTAGGTACAATCCTAAAATTGTTCTTTAACTCTGAACTAGCTAATTTTAACTTAATTTAAAATATGTTAGTATTTACTTTCTGCTCACAATTTTCATAAATATTAGTGCGTTAAGTCGAAAGGTTGATAAATTAGTAGTACAATGTCATTTCTGTATTGTAAAACTAAAATGAAATTATGAGTTTATATAATGAGTTTTTTGATCACGTTGTTATTAAGTCACTGTCTTGTTTGTCCGTCTGTCTATCGTTCAGGGGTAAATCTCGCAACTCAATTAACGAGCACTTCCGGTTGAGTTAGAAACTTGAAATTTTGAATATAGAATCCGATGAAAATGTAGAAATATGAAAAAAAAAATTAAATATTATTTTTTAGTCCAAAATTTAAAATAAAAACCACTTGTATTGAAGTATTTATTGACTATTGGAGGGTAATAAAATAATTTAAAAATAAGATAAAATGAATAGAAGATATGATATCTGTATCAAAGTGCATATCTTTCGATATCGCTCACTATGAAATTCAATGAACTAACACACAGCGCAGATAACTTAAATTGAATCTGTAAGCACCAAACAATATCGAAAGATGGTGACAATATTATCTGTTCATACAAACATATCTGAAGGTGACATCTGCGGATACAAATATGGCATAGGATTTAACCGGTAGATAAATACAGCAAAATTGCTGAAAAAATGCGATTAAATTCGTCTCGGTCTTTTTTAAGCTTTAAATGACATTCTATCCAAAATTTTCACTTTTTATTAGTTGCTTACGCAACACGTTCATTAAAATTAAAATCTGAATCATATTTTGACGAGCTCTCTAGCAATATACGCTTACTTATTGTAGGTAAAACTCCGTTTAAACAATCTGCTCCAAAAAACACGTCTAGTAAGACGTATAAACAGTTAAATATTCTATTTTAAATTGACACAGTAAGGTAGCTCAGAAATAATGTTGAAACAATCAAAAATGTAAAAATTAAAATCGTTTCTGGTTTTCAAAACAGTTTTAAAATTATGTGACCAATGATTATTGATTTGGTTAAAATTTTAAAAAATTATGCATCTAGAAAACGCGGTTAAAAAACCACCCTCGCAATCCAATCGCAGTTCTTCAATTTCTAAATAAGTAATATTCTTTTAATCCTTGGACTCTTTATCCTAATCGAACTACTACTGTTTTATATTATGTAATATGATAGATCTTAACCTAATTAACGAACTAAAATGTTACATAGAAATCGAGATAAATTACATTTTAAACGTTAAGTTCAATTTTAATTTAATTTTCGAATTTATAAATAATATTTAATACTTAAAAATGCTCAAGATATAGTAATTAACCAAAAAAAGTGTAAGTGATGAATACAATACATTGCTGATAGTGTGGAGTAAGATTTTAAGGTTTATATTGTGGATTTAGTGAAGAATTCCCAGGCGTCAAAGGCAGATGTTATCAGCAGATAAGTACTGACGGGCGAAATTATGTAATTATTTATTTGCGGAAGCATAGTAATAAATGCAATGAATATTTCGTTCTTTTTAAGTAAGATAAAAAAGGGATAGGATTATATATTCGGCGTGCTTGTCTTTTTTAATGTGTTTTCACTGATTTATTTCAAATGGCTGAACCTGATTCTTTTTTGTTAATTACATATTTTAGGGTCCGTTCCAAACAGATATCAAGAAAAAAAGTTAAGAAAATGTAACTATTTAGAATACATTCTATAATAGTTGTAACCTTAAACTCGTAAACTCTCAAATGGGTAAAAAATTGTCTGTTTTTAAAAAAAAATAATATTCGCATATCGTAGAATGTAGGCATTACAATTTTTTAAACTTAATCGTTCCGTTACATTCTGCCTACGTGCGAAGCGTGCAAATTTTAATTAAGTATATATTTCACAATTTTTACAAATATTAATGAATGTTAGTTTATTAATATAACATAAAAATATCCAAATTATAATTAATTAAATGTTGAAAAATTATATTTAATTTTTATATTACCATACCACAAACAATGTCACGCAATGGTGTACTAATGCCTAAGTAATTAAAATTTATAATAATTTTATAACTATCAAAGTCCTCTTTTACTTACTAACAGAAAAAAATTCAAGCAATTTGGATTATTTAGGGTATAAAAACCATTAAATTAAAGCCATTTATGAAGTTTGTTTTTTAACTTTGTCATTGGGATATTTTAAACTAGTCAGGTAAAGAATTCAAGATTTTAATTACTATTATGTACGTTTTTTGAAAGAACATCAATTTATATTTTATTAGATTTTTCTATTAAAGTTCTATCTCTGAAAAATTATTACTGGTAGTATTCAGGGAACGGTTTGAAAAAAAACGCGACTGGTTATATATATATGCGAGTGGTAGCGCTTTCATTTCTTTAAATAATGGCTTGTATCGTACAACGCCATGGAATGTGATACACAGATTGCCCGAATGCAGTTTTTTTTTTAATTTTAACACACTAAATACGGTTTTAAGCAAAAAACTCTTAAAACCGACTTGAAAACAAAAAATCATTGATTTTTTCCGCATACGCGAAATAGTTTCTACAGTCGGTCGGCTTCACTTCTTCGATACTGTATGTATTAACACAGTTCAGAAGTTATTAAGAGAAATTATTTTATTGCTTTTAGTTTTTTAAGTTGACCCAACTTCAAAATTTAATTTTCAAGATAACATCTAGAATATCGTGTTACTTACTACTATATTTCTACTATTAGGTGTGAAAATTTTCGGCTAAAAAAAAAGACTTTCAATATAGATGCTAGTTATTAAAAGGTTAAAAATTTCGACTTCGCCTGGCATACTGTAACAAAGCATTATTATCAATAAAAAATAAAAGTTAAACTCTATACAAAGTCGTTGGAAGAGCGAGTGCATTGTCTAAGGCTATCGCGTGCCACGTCAGCCATCCTGTTTGGGGTATCAGGAAACCGCACGTACAGTCTACCTAGTAACATCTCGCATAATAGGGTCAAGGTCCGACCTGGGAATCGAACTCAGGAACCCCTAGGCCCGTCGCCCAACCAGTCGTCATTCGTCGTCGTCGTCGTTATCGTCACTTAAAATGTAAAAATGAGCAAAGTGAAGCGTTAAAAAATAAACTTTGAAAAAAGTAATAGCTGACATCAAAGAATGAAATAATTTCACAAGCTCAAGGTAACAACAAGAATTTCGTCTATGTGTAACTATGTAGTGACATAAATTTCATTCCCTATTTTCCCACTCTTAGAAATGGAAAGTTTTTCCAAACTAATACGGGACCATCGCTAATGTATGATAATGATCTACGTAAAAAAGTAATCATCCAATTGGTTCACAATCAACTATCTCAAACATACAAAAAATCGCGTAACATACGTATACAAAAAAACGTAAAGCCGAATTGAGAACCTCCTATGGTTTGCGAAGTGGACTGAAAATACATTCATTTCGGACACCTGCGAGTGCAAAAATGCAACCGGTACTGTACCACAGGAATTAAAACTGTAAGATAATTTCACGTAATAATAGTTTATCTTTATGCGAAAAAACAAAAATCATGCCTAAATTGCACGTCACATCTACCCTAGTAACTTTTGGAAGCACTACGCCCAAAGTTTTTGAAAGTTGGATACTCGGCTAGATAGCATTCAGGTCAGTGATAAGTTATCTTCTTGTCAAATATACCTCAACACTTGAAAACAAGCGTATACAACTAGTGCGTGTTGCCAGTGATATCGTATGGATCTTAGATGTGCTCCTTCTTTGTTGGCCAAAACAAGAGGCTCAAGAATCACTAAGCGGTTGTGGCAGTGGGTCGGCCATGTAGCTTGAAGTTCCGATAACCGATGGGTAAGAAAGGTAAGGTAAAGGTAAGCGAAGTGTGGGACGAGGGACAAACCCTCAACACACACAGAGATTACCTGGTAAATGCAGAGCCGATGGATGCAGGTGGTTTACTATATTCTGTAGTATTACTAGGGGTGGCCCAAATTTTACTAGTGGTCTTGTAAGAATTTATTATGACTATTATGGTGATGAAATAAATGGTTCTGATTATGTTGTCAACCAACCATCACGCCTGCTCTTGCAAATCTCTGGTCAAATCTTGTAAATAATGTTTGCTAGCTGGTCCATTTACAAAGGTATTTATCCAGCACCGGACCCAAAAGCCGGGTGGTAGAGGCCTAAGAGAATTCATCACTCCATTTCGTCCCGTAGGTGTCGTAAGACAACCATAAGAAATACAAGGAGGATATTATGGCTTCCAATAAATGGAGGTGTACAAACCTTATTTATTTCAGGCATAAAATACCGAGACAAGCGACTGACAGCGGCGCTAAAACTAAGAGACGTCTGGGATAGTCAATCCTTCTGCCAAGCATGACGACTAAGGAAGACCCTCTCTTCATCAGGAGAGAGCCACATCCAACAGTTGGCTTTGACAGGGTGATGAAGAAAAAGGAAGACTTAAAAAGGTTTGTGATATGTACCATACTAGATATACGCCCCGACTTCTTGCTGGTGTTTTCTAGATCTCGTCAACAATCTTCCGGGTACGATTTCCATCTAAACCACCCGGAAACCCACTCAGACGTCAAGCCATTTCCTAGTTTTTGCAAGGCTAAAGAACGCCAATTGATTTTTATATTATATATAGATAGTCACAAGATTATCAAGAAATTAAGCCGCTTTTTATTCAGATCTGCATGAAAGATGTGGCATTGTTTTTTTTATAGTATAAGGGTGACAAACGAGCACACAGTCCATCTGATGTTAAGTGGATGCTGTGGCCCACAGAGATCTACATTTATCTTAAATTAAAAATCTAAGTGCTGATGCGTTGCCAGCCCTAAGGACTGAGATGGAACGCCTCGTTTCTAGTAAAAAGGGTCTCCGGTTCTCTACACTCACCATACGAAACGCAGCATTATTAAGCTTCTATTTTGCGCTGGTATATATTGCGCTTCTGTGAGAGCGTGGACCTACCCCAGTCGAGACGACCCATTCGTGCTGCAACCACAATATAGCTGCAGCGTGGTTTTAACACGTATTTTCTCTGTAGACTTTTACACGGTACAAAACACGTCGTTGCTTTTATTTCGATGCTGACATAAAAGAATAGTAAAATTAAAATATTAATAAACGGTGTAATTACATAATGGGAAAATTTTACTTGAAAATTTCTCACACTATATAAGTACGTGATAATTTAACGTCTTGTGTAAGGTATGGCACTTTAGATAAATTTTATGTAAAATTAGTGGCAGGGTTTCGCAAAACAATTTTGCAAGTTGTTATATAAGTTTCCTTTAGTGTTTATATTACATCATAGGACCCACAAAACAACCTTTTACTTGATATTTCAAATGATATATGTACTTGTTTTTGAGCAAGCCACATATAAAATCGAAGTATGAGCAACTTCACAGATTCCGGTGCAATAGACAATCATGCATTAAATTTTAATTTTAAAGATCTATACAATCATGCATTAAATTAAATGAAAAAATTTAATCAATTTCAGAATAATGGGTGACAACATGTAAAACAGAATAGTTCAACAAACTAAATAAATGTTATTAAAAACTTACCTTATGTAGGATCATAATGAAGAGTATTCGCTACCATCAAATGTCACCAATCACGTACTAGTTTGTGACTTATATCTATGAAATCCACTACTGTATAACTGCGCCAAATATCAGCTTCAGATCATCACATTATGTTGGACAACAGTTTTGTATGTACTGTGTCATCACATCCGAACTGGTAACAAAACGTTCCACACACGCGCAGCAATGGAAATCCTATAATTTAAAATAACCAACCGTTAAAAACTCTTACTTTACTTCTGACTGCACCAAGTAATTGGCAGACTGACTCCAAATAACCGTGTAAAATAGGTTAAACGAGTATCAAAAACAAAATATTGTCAAATCAACTGATAAATTAAATGTATTAAAAAATGTTACAAAGTTATTTACGAGTTTATCATTATACTGTAATAAATATGGTTGACAAAATAAGTTTTAATTATTTATTATTAAAAAAAATCGAACCAACTTTTTTAAAATTTTTACAAGAAGAAATGCGTTCAGTGGGCAGGTCAAGTGGTAAATGGACGCGCGTATCGCTTGCTGCGTGTTAAATACAACACTACTCTACATATCGGCGAAGTGCAGAAACAAAATCGTAATATCCTTCAATTAATATACACAATACGCTAATTCGAATGAGAGCGAGACTTCCCAGTGACAGCTATGTGATAAGTTGCTAAATAATTGACGGTGGGAACCAATACTCGAAGGAAATTCACATTAATTTATTGAAAACCAAAAACAATACGTAATACAATAATTTACATCAAAGTTAATTTATGTTATTTCAAAAATCAGAAAATGTCTGTGCCCAGCAGTAGAACTTATTAATTGAAATAGAAAGTTTAAGCTCCAAGCCTTTTAAAAAATATTCGTAACATATACTTTTAAAAGTGCATCTTTAGCGGTTTATACATTTTTAGTAAATTTCCATTTTATTATGAATTAATATAACTCTTATTTAAAATTAATAAACATATTTCAGATGTAATCGTTGATCGTATATTCATATTAACTATACATCTTAGAAGAAATACATGATATGAGCGCAGAGCCAGGACTCTAACTTTAAATACTGCTCCCTATTAACAGCTCACTTTTAGATTCAGTGATGTTTTTGCTATCTTGGGCAGAACTTTATGAGTCAATAGGTGGAGTAAACCACGTACTGGTAAAGTTGAAATGTTTTAGGAAAAATTAAATTCATAAAGCTATTCAACTCCTAATTAATATTTGTTGTCGTATTACAACCAATAAATACGAGAAGAGTAGTTTAAGTGCAGCAGTTAGAACTTTTGATATGCTGTAATAAACGATGCATGAACAATTTCGAATGATTAGGGTTGCTTAAAATCAGAAATACTACCACTGTAATAATAAGCAAGCTCAATTATATAACTGATTTTCAATTGAAATATTTAGTGGGATACTCGTAATAAACATTAAAGACATGATACGACATCTAAAGTAACAAACACTACATAATTATTATTAGAATAAAAAAATAACTTATTTTTTTACTTGTCATCATGATCAGTAGCCTGAAAACAGGCCATTACTGTCTATAGGCCGTTTTCATATTAAGAATATGTATTTTATTATTTTTATTATGTTTTTTTATAGAAAAAGGCGAGCACACAGACTACACAAAGGTAAGTAAATACTGTGGTCCAAAGACATTTACATTTGTTCTCGATTAAGAATCAATATGCACAGTCGTTGAAACCCCTGAGGACTAAGATGGAATCTCTCGTATCCAGTAAAAAGCGTCTCCGGATCTCTACACTCACCATAAGAAACACAGCTGCTATTTTATGAGAGTGTGATCCTTCCCCGTCGATCCTTCTCATTCGTGCTATAACCATAATATAGCTAGGTAGGATGTAGATAGGCATAATAAGGTACAAATATTTAATAAAAGTTAAATTATTAATTATAAATTAACTGGTGATATAATTATCTCAAATATATATTAAGTTACCTTATTAACTGCATGGCATAGGCCTCCATTATTGGATCAGGACGTTTTCTTTCACCGTCAAATGCAAAGTAAATCGGAACATAGTGAATAATAAACAATTTCAATACTAATACAACTCCTGTAAACATTGTTATAGGCGACGCGCCTATAATAATATTTCAATTTATTAGTTAACCGATTACGAATAGCTTCTAAAAAGCAAATTATCAAGCAACAATATTCCGATAAGAAAATGCTTAGTTGAATCTTAAAGAAATATCGAATTAATGATATGGGACCAACCAAGACCTTGGGTTCGACTCCCAGGCCGGAATAGTTTATCGTTTTCTTAGTAATATCCCTTAATAAATTCATATAGGGAATTTTTAAGATATAAATTATGTTACCGGATTTGTTCCCCGGTTGAAATCATCTTTCCAACAATGTTAATTTAAAGAAATATTAAAATAAAGTTAGAGACCAGGATTTGTTCCCCGGTCAAGATGATCGCTGTGCATAAGTAGAATTAATGGAAATTAATTGCATAAGTATTCTCTTATATGAGTTTGATATGTTTTGTATGAAAACAAATGCCTATTTTCTATGATTGATTTATGAAAACATTCACTTATATTGTTTGATAAGAAACATGATAACTTATAAGAACCTGATTAGAAATAGTTTTCGGCGTTTGAGAATTGAGTAGAATCATTTATTCACCTAGTATTGTTGATATTAGTGTATACTAAACTTTCCATTTTTACTGATAGTCGATAGCCGTGTAAAAGTTAGTTGTTCAAATAGTGTGAGTTCATAGACGCACGCTAGCCACGTACTTAGGAGGCCAAATATGTAGAAATTTAAATATTTACAAATTTCAGCAATTTATGTAAAATGACTTGTAAAACATTTCAGATTGATTGTACGTATAAAAGAGGTGAATTCTATGAAAATTCCTGTGAATAAGTGAAATAATGATAGTTTTGTATAAGAAATTTAAAAATGTTTTAATAGTGAAATGTATAGAGAAAATGTAAATTAAACTATTGTATTAGTTAAGATATGTATAATTTCAAGTGGAAAACATTGTTTTAACTCTCTATGTTAAATATTTAAGAAATTCCAACTTTGAACATGTGAGTAAAATAAGCATATTTTGTTAAATAAATAAAGGGTTTTTTGTGATATGAAAATGTAATGTATATCGTAGTATAGATATTTTTTTGTGCTATCTTTATAAGTAAATTATATAAATGTATGTCTTATACAAATAAAGTTATTGAGCAAACCATGAGAGAGTGATAGTACAAATTGATGTAATTGAGTTGCGCAAGCGCACAAATGGCGCGGCTCACTTTCGCGTTTAGCTTCGAGGTAGTTCAGTAAATTGATTTTTCTTAAACGTCCGAAACCCCCTATAACCTCCTTTTTCGTAGTCAAAAACCAGACACGGAAGACATCAACGTTGCAAATCGTTCGGGAAAAATGCAAGACCAGCAGTCAATAAGAAGAAGAAAGAGAAAGTATAGGGAAGTGATAGGGAAAAGTAATTACTCTCTCACGGAACGGTTTGAAGATAATTGCTGTTTTATTCCCAAGGAATTCTCCCCTTAAAGTGATACAATTCCATATCGAAGAATTAAGGCGTTGGGACCGGGACGACTTCGGAAGACCCGTAATCCCCGCCTGAACCTATTTTCTGAAAAGGAAGAGGTTTTGGCCCTTGTGTGTTACTCCGTTGCGGAGATCACATACGTTGTTCCCAAACCCAACGTAGGCGTTGTAGGAGGCCGAATCGAGAGAAGCCTCGATTCCCCCCTTCTGTTTCTTAGTTTAACGTTTGCTGGTTCCTTTTCAAACGTAATATGAGGTGACTAACGTCCAATATCTGATTTACTACGGCTTTTTAAATAAAATGACATTAAATAAGAATACTTATCTGATTTCATCAGATTATTACACTTAATATGAATTCGGTATCCTTGACTATTGTATTAAGTAAAGAACTAAAAACTTAAATTCTAAATTAAGACTGACGACCCAAATATTAAGACGAAATGAAAATGTTTCGTTTGGTTACTATTGTCACACACCTTTGTTTCGTTAATACAGTTCACAATATAAAATGTTAATTATTATTTTGTAATAACTGTATTCATCGTCGAATGAAGTAAGTATTTCATTTTTACACCTTACTCAGTCACAAAGGTCAAGAATACAAGAGAGTTTCTCAAATATGTATAACTGGCCTAAATTTATAATTTTAAATGCAGCCGATGTTTGGTTTTTGCAATAATCATTTGAATATTTTTAGGTTACGTTCAATAAAATTGTTTAATTTTTTACTTTCACTACTGATTGGGAAAAAAACTTCGGTCCAAGACAGAACCAGTAAGATACGTTTTACGATAGTAGTTTTTTTCAAGCTATTTATGATAAAATAAATTGAACAATAATTATAAAATTCAAATTTAATAACATGGGTATTAAAGACGTGAGATAAATTATCTGAGACATTATTGTAAAAGCGTTTACGTTAACTCCCGGTTTAACTCTTGGTCAATGAGATTGGTCAATAAGAAGAAGCCGTGGTAGCTTAGATGGTTAACGCTCGCTGTAAATATAACAGAACGCGAGTAACCCGGGTTCGATCCCCGCCGGCACCAATGAAATTTTTAAATGCAATTTTAAGTGCTGATTTACCACGTGCTCGGCGGTGAAGGAAAACATCGTGAGGAAACCTGCATGTCTGAGGAATAAGAAAAAAAATATTTCGAAGACATGTGAAGTTCGCCAACACGCATTGGGGTAGCGCGGCGGACACTTCCTTGCCCTAAAACCCTTTCAGAAATGAGGGGAGGCCTGTGCCCAGCAGTGGGACGTATATATGCTGTAACTTTACTTTTTTTTACTTTACGATAAGATTCCAGTTCCTGAGACAAAGGACTAATCACAGTAGAACTAGGCCTGAAAAACAACTATATAAGCTTTTGCTCGATTGTTTGCTCGGACTAGAATTCGAAGTCGTAGCCCACGGCGTAAAGCCATG